CCCGGCCCGGGGCCCCCCGCGCTTCGGGTCGGGAGCCGTCCCCGCGCGGGCCGTGCGGAACGGCCGGCACACGGACCAGCAGCCTCCGATGTTTAATTACAGCTTCTATGTGAGAAATTCACTTACGGGGCATCTGCATATCTTGTATTTCAAACTTATGGGGAGAAATAGAACCAAAAACCTAACACTAGCGAATGTAGTGGAGAGCACATTTTTGGGGGCCCAAAGCACTACACATCAAACCAAACGCTTCTGGACCAGCGTAAGGTTATCAAACACATTGGCCATTCTGTCAAACTAAAAACTTTTACAGAATGCTTCCTTTGTGGCTTTTGTAAAGCAAGTGTGATTGTGTGACAAGGGAGAAATACAGAAAAGGCCTCCCCACTATGAGGATTTGCTGGTGGACAGGCTGTGCTGGGTTCCTCACTGCAGTGGTTCTGTGACAGGAGAGGTGACACTTGGGAATATGCCAAATGCATCATAACACTTCCATTTAATTAAGTGTCTTTACACTCCTCTGCATTATTGCGTTCAGCTGGAAAGACTCTTGAATTGTCCCCAAAGTTGAGAGCTCACTGAAATACAAATAGATTGTATTTAAGATACATATGATACAAGAACTAACATTGGCAAGTTCTGAATTAAATTTCCTTGGAACTGCAAAATCCTCCTCACAGTAACATCAACCAAGCCCTGTCAACTGAAAAATAAGGAGGATGCTTTTGCCATCTACTGGCGTGTCCTTGTAAATACAGCAGCAATCTAAATCACGGAGCTGAAAGCTATTCATCATAGCTCCTGACTTGTCAGCATTAATGGAAGCATGTGGGTAAAAGAGGAATAGAATATGTCACCACTCTGCGTTTGGGTTTATAATTAGGACAAAACTGAGACCAAGGAAACTCCAAGCTTTGCAGAACACGTTTCACAGACCCTTAAGGAAGATGGAAGCAATTTCATAGCGGTAGGCCATCGTGGGAAAGGACACAAGGAGACAGTACACAAACCATAGGACAGCAAGTGGAAACTATATTTAGTTATTGCCTTATTTACTGTTAATGCCCAGTTAGGAATAAGCTCTCTCCTTAGTGCTTTCCTTGTCTCAAGGCTGGAAGGTGGGAGAAGCCCAGACCCCCTATCAGTGCAGGAACCAGGAGAGCAGAAAGCTGGGATTCACCACATGTTGCCTGAGACCCATCCTGGGGAACCTGAAGGCTGTAGCTGGGAACTATTGCTTATCCTTTTGGGGGATAAAGCGTTTTTTTTAGAAAGAAAAAGGAATCAGTTGACATGGGAGGTGGAAAACTCCATGAGTGAACTGGTTACGCTGTTGATATACATAAGAAAACTGGAGAATTTCTGGAGTTATTTTTTCAGCCATGGCGGTCTGGGCATCAGCGAGAAGTTCTGTGCAGATGTCTCTCTTCTCACCTTTCTGCTGTCACTCACAGGCTGATCTGTCAGCCAGGACCAGCAGGTGTGATGGTCCCGCTTGTGTCCTGCAAGATGCAACAGCACCGGTACCAGGCAAGGACACTAACAAGGATGGAGAAGGGTTAGGGCAAGGGGCAGGAGCAGCGGGCAGAGAGGAGAGAGGCTGGGACAGGATGTGGAGGAGGAATCCTAGAGAGGGAAAGAATGGGAAAGAGCTAGCAAACAGTTTGATAAAGCAAGCTGAGAAATAAAATGAGCAAAAAAATAGAAAATAAAATAATATAAAATAAATCATAAAAATATACAGGTGTTCTAACTCCACCTACCCACCTACACATAAAAGGGGAAAAAATGGAAAGAACAGATAAAAGAAGAAATGAGACTGGATGCCCATATACAGTTAAAAGCTAAAGGCACTAATTCAAACAGTTTGAGAGAGGTACAGAAATGTTACATAACAGATTTCCTTTATAAGTGGGCTTTTCTGCATGTAGACAATAAATCTCAGCTTTTTGTTTCACCTTGTAATTTTTGTGCTAGCTTCCTTCTTGAAAGTGTCAGCTAACTTTTCGTTGGCACAATTAGCAGATGGAGCTCAGCCATTTTTTAAGGTGATGTAAGGGGATTTTGCAGGAGTCTCAGTCAGAAATAACACAAAATGCATTTCCTAAAAGGGCTGTCCCATGAATGTCACTAAAATACTCTCCTGTTGTTTGCTTTCTTAGCATGCTCAGTTTTTATCTAGAAATATAGAGAAAAGTATTCATGTAACATCAGCAGTGTGAATTGGCCCAGAACAACTTTTGTGTTTGATCTCAGGTAACAGAATGGCTACAAATCAAGGCCTGCAGACAAAAGTTCAACAGTATTATGTTCTGTAGCTGTGAAGGTTGTGCTGGTCGCCAGCCAGCAGAACAGAAGGTCAGGGAGTGTCCATGCGTTTGGGAAATGCGCTTCCAAGGTCCACGCAGCGACCTGAGCTCGCTGATGCCGACCTGGGCCTTTCTGTTAAGAAAATTCATCAAAGAAGAATTTTCTGATCATCGAGGTTCCTTTACCTGTCCATAGGGAAACAGAGGAGGAAATGGGCTCACATAGCATTGAAAAAATGCCAGAGAATTTAGCAATCAAACTCAAAGGATTTGCAAGAGAGATAGTTGTGATGCCTGGGATGTCCCAGGAGCCTGGGAATGTCTTCCCAGAGGCTCTATCCTTCCTGTTAGTAACAGAGCGGGAGTTCTCTGAGGGCCATCAAAGGGTTTGCGTTACAAAGCATATTGTTTTCAATCGTTTGTTCCTGAATTTATTTTAATGATCCTCCCCTTCCTTATTTTCCCAACACGAACTTAGCTTTGTGCATGTTCTAAGTGACTGGTTGTTGCAATCTTAGTTTTTGAGCTGGCGCACAGTGATTAATTATTATTCTCATAAGTAGTTAGCATCCTGCCTCTGCTTCAGGAGGGAAAAGAATAATTCACAGATTTGTTTCTGACTGAGCTTCCTGTTTGGGGCCATTTGTGGCCATTTGCTTCCATCTTTTCCCTTCCATGCTCAGACAGATACTTGAAATCTCCTACATCTGATCCATGACTTTGCTGTGATGTACCACCATTCCCATAACTCAACTATTAGTAGCATAATAGTTATAAAAATGTGTAAATTTGTAACAACACTTTTAAATAATAACAATAAAGGTTTCTCCTTGAGCTTTTTATTGTGCTTATTATTATTTTCTTACCTCTAGCTAGCATTAACCTGTGCTGTTTTGATGTGGGACCTGCAGGTAATTAACCTTGCAGCATGTGGAGCACTGCTGAATTCCTTTGAGATTCATGCAAACACAGAACATAAACTCAAGGTCTTAGGTTTGGGGAACACTGAAAGGCAGGGATTCGTTTTTTTTTCTTGTGTGTCTTCTTTAGAGTGCCTACATAATGTTGATAAAAAGCCAAAATAAGATATTTGTTCCTCTCTAATAAAGTCTACTGTGATCTAAAACTAACTGAAGTATGAGCACAACTTACAATTAATACTTCTTTGCCCTATCATTTCTACAGCGATTCCTGCATGTGAGCGCTTTATTGCACATTCTCAGCTGTGCTGACTAGTGGCATATAGGTTGTTATGTATGTGCTCCCAATTATACTGATATACTTTGTGGACTTTTAGTGATAATACTCATAACTTCTACATTATTTTCTATTAACATATTGCAATTATTGCATATAGTACACTGTTATAATAAACTTCTCTGCAAATATATTTCTCATAATATTTTCAGAAATATATTAGCAGAAACCTAATATATTAGCAGAAACATCCTAACTCAAAGAGGATATGTACAACCAGCAGAATTTTACAAGGAAATTTTGATTCACTCAGCTCTACCAATTGTAGAAGTAACTCTTCAATTTTTCATTCTACAGAGCTGTTTATTTAAAAAAAATCTTATTTGAAAATGGTTTACAAAACAAGTTAATTAAGGCTAAGAGGTTTCTAGGTGTTCTTATACTCACCATGCT